CATCACCAAGCGCGAAGCGCCATGAGGTATTTGGCGAGTCGCATGAAGGGTGAGCTGCATCTTGCTAAGGGTGTTCGGCATCTTGTGCTTACTTCCTTGCGTACGGATGACAGCTACGTATGACTTAATTTATTTTCTGGTGCTTTCACTTCCAGAGACAGTTGTAAGCACTGTGTAACTGCCTCGAGGGCGCTTGACCATTTTAACACAACGTGGTGCGATCATCCCCCGTTGCGCGGAGTGAGGGTTCTCGACCCCGCACAACATGATCTACTCGACCACCATTATGGATACCGCCAAAAAAAAAAACGAGGTGAAAAAGAAACCGGTAACCTGGTTGCCGAGTGCACGAAGTGAAATGGCTTGTTTTACAACGTCGTTGCCAAGCGACGAAAACCCAATCCCGATGACAAACACCGAGTGGGGGGCTTGTTTTACAACGTCGTTGCCAAGCAACGAAAACCCAAACCCGATGGCAAACACCGGGGGGGGGGGGGGGGCGTACTCTATGTTTTGCATGCCTTAGCGGTTAGACCATTGACCACGCGTCCTCGAGGGGACGGAGCGTTGTTCCCACAGGACCGGTGGTGTTTGTGGGGCACAAAATCAACAACACACAATAACAACACCACCATTCTAACAAAACACACTGCCTCTGTGAATGACGTTACGCCGCCGGTTTGTGAGACTAGATACTGCTGTAGGCGGACCGCAGCTTGGCGAGGCGAGATAACCGCCAAGTACTCTTGGCGCAAGGTTTGCGAAAGCTTTTGAGCTCCAGCTAGATGCATAATAGTTCTTGGGGGAGGACTATTTGACCATCCACCAAGAGCCGCTTTCGAAACAGCGCAACGTCATCCCTACTCCAGAAAGTGTGCTTACATCCCTGGCACTCTGGCCCTATGTGCCACCACGAAATTCTAGTAACCGCGATAGCGTTCTCGGCATCGTCCAGTGGACAGAACTCGAACCGCATCCACTTGGTGCATAGAGTACTATACGGCCGTTGAGTTCTGCATAGCCGTTGACGACTGCACAACGTCGCTGCCCCCTTACCCTTGGCGTCACCCCGGACATTAGAGCCGCCGCCCCCTCTTCCGTGTAGACCCGTCGAAACGTGTCCCCCAGGCCTCGGTAGGTCTCGCCATGCTTGTCCTACGGTGCCGGCATTTTCAACATCGGTCTCAGTTTACCGGTCAAAAGCTGCCGTCCCCTTTTATTTCGACAGTTGTTTCTCACGAATACGTATTGTCCACGGTGTCATCAACAAGACCATTGGAACAACAACATTGAGGCCGAAAAAAACACATGGGGTCCTACTCTACGCGTACACGATGAGTGGACACCCGGCACAAGCGTGCGATAAAACACCTCACTCGGTGAGTAGTGGGGCGTGTAACAAACGCTCGCGCGGGTGTGTTCGAGGAACCAACTCGATACTGGTCGCCACGATGTCGTCCGTGTGCTATATGAAGGCTCGAAAGGTTGAGTCAGGGTGAGCATGATTGTATGCTGCATTTACTCATGAGGCTCTGCTGCAACACGAACCATCCCAGCCCTCCCGAAACAAACCGAAAAGAAGTCAAGCAATTGTTTATCGCACGCTCGACGGGAAAACACAGCCTCAAAGTTCTAGTGCGACCCGAACAAGATGTGAAAATTGTTGTGCCGATTCAACAAAAGCATAGACGCCGAGCACAAAGACCTGTGGTGCTTCTTCGAGGTGGTACAATTCACTAACCGAGAAAAGAAATTTTCAGCCAAGCAGAAATAGTCGCGTGAGCATGCTACCAGTCCAACTACGTTGCCCTTCAGTGTGGTCAGCCACACCTCGCTCTCCCGCCACGTCCAACAACAGTGTTCCAACCGCAACCATCCGGGTACAAGTCGGGATCCCTTTTCGCAAAGGGTGTAATCTCCCCAACGTCTGTGGAGGACGATGAATTCCCTCTTTCCACATGTACAACACCGATCCTTAAAGGTAAGCCTTGAAACCACTCACCGTCCCGAGCATGAGTCTGGTCTTGACCACGTCCATGGGTGTGGTGACCGCCGCTGCGAAAGCCCCCGACACAGACCCACACCCCGCCGCCTCGTACGGCTCCAGCGGGCCACCTCTCCGCTTCGCCCAGGCCGCCTTCAGAAGTACGACACAAACACGACAACAATCAATACCACACCATTAGTTCGCCTTCAGAAGTACGACACAAGCACAACAACATTAACAACACCAACAGTTTCCTTCAGAAGTACGACACCAACTCAACAACATGAAAACAACAACACTAGATGTCCTTCAGAATAACAACAAAAGCACAACATTAAATTAACACCAATAGTATTCCTTCAGAGGTACGACTCACACACAACACTGGTTGTCCTTGAGCAGTATGCACATGACACATCAACAACAACCTTTCAATGACAACAACACTAGCAAAATAGGAACACCAACAACGTTTACGTTTTCAACGGCGATTGTATACGCGGGACGCCTGAACACAACACAGCACCTATTAACAGTAGTTGCGACGAATGCTACTCAGTGGCCTGCTGCCTAACATGGGGTGGTGCATGGTGCGACAAGATGAGGCGTACCGCTGTAGCGCGGTTGGTGTTGTAGCCCCATCGGGGGGAACACAACGCAACACCTGGGGCAAAAGCCTGCCCACGAACGCAGACAAGTCAGCCAATACCATCCCGCCTTCCCGATGAGATACGGTGTTCTGTGGGCCCCACTATTAACCCACTTCACTAGTAGTAGCTCACTCACAGCACAAAGAACCTCCTGATGCACTATAACCATTCGTCCCCCCCGCAGCCCCACGCACGCATCTCCCAAAAAGCAAGGCCCGGCAGGGCCACCGCCGTACCTCCCTTCGTAGATCGTACCTACGCCCTTCGTAGCTCGTAGCTTACGCCCTTCGCAGATCGAACCATACCCCCTTCGTAGATTGAACCATAAGCCCTTCGTAGATCGTACCATGCGCCCTTCGTAGATCGTACCATAAGCCCTTCGTAGATCGAACCATACGCCCTCCATAGATCATAGCTTACGCCCTTCGCAGATCGTACCTTACGCCCTTCGCAGATCGAACCATACCCCCTTCGTAGATCGAACCATACCCCCTTCGTAGATCGTACCTTACGCCCTTCGTAGATCGTACCTTAAGCCCTTCGTAGATCGGGAACTGGATGAAAGAGAAAGGGATCTCGCGAACCACCGTGGTGAGGTAGCCCGTGTAGAACCCCATCATCCCGCTGTTCTTCAAGATGGCGTTCATGGTCTCTGTCGCCGTACCGTGCAGCCCCGCCTGCATCTTCTGCTTGACGTTTTCCGTCGGTACTCGCACGAGGCACGCCATCTTGTCTCGCCAAAAATCGCGAGGGGGTTACATGAAGCCACCGACAGGGGGTGGGGAATGGGGGGTGGGGGTACAGCAGTGGGCCCTCAACAACGCCGGTTTATGCCCAGTGAATCGACCGGCGCTATTCAAAGTACATAATGACCTTGGGATTCAGTCTGTGCCAAGCAACTCCACCGGCACTGCACACGGCCACCGGCGATATACAACCGGCGTTTGTGAAAAGGGCCCACTACTGCAAATGTTTGGCGTGCCTCAACCGTTAGGCCATTGACCACGCGTCCTCGAGAGGATGGAGCAGCATCGTCCCCACAGGACCGATCGCCAATCGTTCCTTCCTGCTTTGCCAAAGGTGGTCCACAAAATGTTTTACCTATGCTATCGATGGGGCTGGGTGGGTGGGTGGGTACGTTTAACTTGAGATTGTAGCATGCTCCCACCACCGTCACACGCCCCGAGGACATTAACATTCTCCCCTCCCCCAAAATCGGAGGAGGTAAGACCTCTTCGATTATCTAGGCTGTAGCAGGCGGGATACACCGCTCAAAGTAGCAGCAATACCCCCCTCAATCTCGACTGCGTAACCTCCTGCCGCCTGTCCCGACCAACCCACCGTTTCGGCCACCGAGGCTGCTGCCATGTGTGCTAGCGGAGAGTCCGGGTCCAGCGCGTGCTTGGCAGCCTCGTACGAACTAAAGAATAGAGCCGCTGGGGACAGAAGAGCAAAAAAAAAACAGGGTCGGCATATGTGTTGTGATGGAAATGGCTGCACTGAGGTACAACTGTACCTCTGCTGCTACAAGCTCTACGAGCAATGACATCGGCTAACATCGGTGGGCGATAGCCTCTGCTGCTAGGTGCTGGGGAACAGAAACAATCCCCATCATACGTGTGTTTGTATTTACGGTGCCATGCTCACAAGCACCTTACATGGTTGCGTTGCCATGAAGTCCAACTTGATGTATGTATGAATGGATGCTTCAAGATAACTGCTGTGTGCTGAGCGTGTGTGGTTTCGAAGGACAGTGCCTTCGCGATTTTTGTCGAAGACGACCAGAGATGGTACCCGTCTACGCCTGTGTGGCGGAAACACCACAGACGGGCTCCCTCCACCAAAGGAAGGACCGCCCCCAGCAGGCAGTGTCATGACCAAAACGGCGGTGCCGTTTTGTTCTCCCGTTCCTGATCCTCTCTCCCTCTCTCTCTCTCTCGTTCTCTCTCTCCCTCCCTCCCCCCCCCCCCC